TAAATCATCCGGATTATCAATTATTGCTTAAAGCACAATCAGAAATACATTCATTAGCTGAACAAATTGATCAAGTACAAAAAGAAGTTGGTTCAACTGACTTAACTATTAATAATAATTCATTAGAAGTTGTTCAAGATATTATTGAAAATTTAACTGATGTATTGACTTTTTTTTTTTATTTTAACTTAAATAGATATATTATTCGCTTTTTTTTTTTCTTTTAGTTAGTCAATGCTGATCGTTATTATATTCGTCATGATCTTGTTACACTTCAATCACCATCGGGATTAAAAAAAGATCGATGTATCTTTTTATTTAATGATCTTATTATAATAACAATTTGTAAACGAAGAAGTTCAACTTTAACTAAAAAAACAGCTAATTCAGTTATTGTGTATGTTTACTTTTTATTTATTTATTTATTTAATAGAATATTTATTTATCTATAAAGACATTCTCCATCTGGAAAACAATATATTGATAATGCAAAACATAAATTAATTATGAAAATTTCACTTGAAAGTGTTGATCTTGCTGCAGGTTTGTTTTATTCAATTTAATTTAATTATTCATTTTTAATTCTTAATTAACTCTATTAGTTTTTATTTAAAATAATATATTTATCATATTGAAAGAATATATATTATTTATATCACTATAAGATATCCTTCGTTTTCCTATCTCTAGTCATTCTTAAGACAATAGAATTTTATAGAAATGTTTTTTATTATTTATTCCTATTCTCTCGATCTTGAATCAATCATTTAAAAACGATTTTAAAATCATTTTCTATAAAATAGTGAAGTAGTATTTTTTAAATCTAGATATAATACAAATATTTCCTACTATTAATTTCTTCTTTTTTTTTTTATTTTTCAACTAAGTTAAAGCAACTATATTAGTTAATCTATTTAAATTATTTGTTAGATATATGGGGATAACCAGTCTGGCCGGAGGACCCAACTGTTTTTCTATATAAAAGCTCTATTGTCCATCTAGATGATATGATTTTTTTATCATTTATAGTACTCATGTACAGCTAATGATTTGTTGTTATTTTGACCATATATCTTACACGAAATCAATATAATCAAAGGTATTTCTAGAATCCTCGAATAAAGTGAACTTAAATCAAAATCGTTCACCGTAATTTTCATCTGCTCTATGAAACGTACTAGAATGCCACTGTCAAATTTTTGTATGAACTAAATAACCAAGAGTTAAAGACGACCTATTATGATCAGTTCTTGCGGATAGGATGTTTATTTAAGTTAAGATTACAAAGAGCAGAAACTACACGTGCAATTTTGGTGATCTTATTGAAGTCATCATAAGATCCCCTGTAAGTATGTCCTAGAATAGCATATTGTTTGATACGTTGATTGATATTTTCAATAGCTGCTCTTGCGGAACAAATACTTCGATTAAAACCAAAGTGTGTTTGTCTTTAGTTATTGTTGACGTGCAGACTTCATATAAGTTGCTAGATATAAAATCTTCCTACCACCAACTCTATTAGAAGATTTTAGAAACACCTGGTTGTATGATTTTCATGTACGGCATATGATCGAAATAACAACAAATCATTAGCTGTACATGAGTACTATAAATGATGAAAAAATCATATCATCTCGATGGATAATAGAACTTTTCTATAGAAAAAAATCGGGTCCTCCGGCCAGACTGGTTATCCCCATATGATTATACTCTTATTAAAATTCAACTTTTTTAATTAGAATTTAACTAAAAGAGAGTTTCATTGTTAGATTTTCTCGAATAAATATTATTATATTCTATTATTTATAAACTAGGATATTTCGAATAATTTCTAAAAGTCTGAAATGTTTGTTAATAACTTATCTTCTACGTTAGAAATTATATTCTACGATAGAAAGATTTATTCGAGATTTAACAGTAAATCAAATTCGAAAAGTAAATTTTCTTTTTTTAATTTATTTATCTAAATAAAGATTATCTTCAGATTCGTTAATATATATTTGAAATTTTCCGGAAAATAAATGTAAGAGGAATTGTTGATATTCTCAAGATAGAATATAAATATAAATTGATAATAATGTCTTATAAGGAAATGTTTCGACGAATTTGAAAGAAGAATATTTATGAAAATGAATTTTCCTCTTAGAAATAATGAAGATAATCTGACGTGAATATGTTAGAATATGATAAAAGACAATATTGATCTATTAAATATATATAAGTATTCTCTTTCTATCAGACTGACAATTAGAAATTTTTTGTTGAAGAGATTTATGTCAAGTAAATCAATGTTTATTTAATGTTGGATAAAAACAAAAAAAATTCTTTGTGTTTTTTTTATTATTTAAAAAAGAAAATATAAAAAAGAGAAAATCATCAGTGTCAACTCCTCCATCATTAATTAAATCAAATTCAAGGGGAAGTAGGAATTTTGAAAAACATCGAAATCTTGAAGAAGATATAATTACTCTTCGACAAATGACTAATTTAGCTAAAACAATAACTGTACCTCATCAGGTAAGATTTTATTTTTGAAAAAGAATATTTTATTTAATTATTTTAAAAATAGCAATTAGATGATTTAATAAAAGAAACTCTTTATAATGTAAATAAACAATTAGTTGATGAAACAACATTATCAACAACAAATATTCAAAATTCAAATCAAGAATCAACATTTACTTCTGATAATATACAACAAAAATCGAATAATATTCAATTAATTATACATACAACGTATTTTAAATAAATTTTTTTATTTTATTTATTTTATTTTTATTTTTCTCTCTAGAGAACGTACAGAAATGATTGATGTCATTTTTTCATCATCTGAAGATAAAATAACATGGGAAAAAAGTTTTCTTGAAGCTAAAAAAATCCTTTGTATATTTCAATTAAATCAAATCATTTATTTTATTTTATTTTATTTTATTTTATTTTCAGTTGAAGTTGCTGCTGGAAGAAGAAATATTAGTTTTCAACAAGTTCTTACTCTTCCATATACTCGACCAGGAAGTCAAGTTCGTTTTATTTTTATTAATTAAAATAAAATATTATTTATTTTATATTTAGTTTTCATGTGGTCTTATTCATTCTTATTCTGATGATTTATGTCTATGCTATACTGATGGTGATATTTATTTCATCGATATTCAGTCTAATCTAACATTAAAAAGTTCTCATAGAATTCCAATATCAGGAATAAATTGTATTGGATATATTCCATCAAATAAAATTCATCGAAGAGGAAATTTAATTAAAAAAGATGATGATAAGAATAAATCAAATATAATTTGTAAAGAAGAATCAAATGATTATGTTAAAAGGCGAACAATTGATTCATTACTTGAAATAGATTCAAGTGATGATGATGATCATATTAATAATAATGATATTATATCATTTTATGATTTACCCTTTCATTTATCAGAAACTCATTTAAATAATGAACAACCAGATACAAGACAACCTACAATATGGTTAGGAACACGAGATGGAAGGTAAAATTAAATGATTTTTTTTCTAAAATTTATTTCAAATTTTTTTATTAGTTTATTTATATATGAATCTTCACAAATAATTAAAACAATTGGAGGAAAAAATCGAATATTTAAACAATTAAATTCTTCAATACATTCAATATTGTTTGTTTATTTCAATAGAATTATATTATTTATAATAAAACAAAAAATTTTTTTTTTTTTTTTTTTTTTTTTATTTTTTTTATTAGATATACTGATAATAAAGTATTTCTTGCTTTAAATCATGGACAATTATGTATTTTCAAACGAGATATAAGTTAATATTATTTTATTTATTAAAATAAAATAATTTTTATTCTTTATTAAGATGGTCGATGGGATTTTGATTCTCCAATAATAAAATCAATTGAAGATAATTCGAGAAAATCTGATTATAGAAATGGAGAAAATACTGATCCAATATCAATATTAACATTAGTTGCTGGAAAATTATGGTGTGCTATACGAGATAGAATATTTGTTGTTTGTCCAAATTCATTAAATGTTCAAGTAAATAAATATATTCTCATTTATAGTTAAATTAATCTTTTTTTTTTATTTTATCTATTAAAACAAAACAAAAAATTTCTTTTAATTAAAGCATTCATTTATTGTTGATGATTGTCATCGTCATGTATCAATTATAGCAACAGGTGGATCATCAATGCATCATGTATGGATTGTATCACAAGATTCACATGAAATTCGTCTTTATCATGCAACACATTTTGTTTGTTTATTTGAAACAAGTATTAGAACAGCTGTTATACAAAAATTACAAGGTTAATTTATTTTTATTTTAAATTAAATAAAATAAACAAACAAATTTTATTTTAAGCTTGTGATGATATAATTCGTGATCATAAATTAGGTTGTCTTCATATAAGTACACTTCATGTTTGTAAAGAAACATTATGGATTGGTACAACTGCTGGAATTATTATTTATTTAACAATACCACAATTAATTGATTCATTATCACCAACTCATTTTTATAAATTAACATCCAATTCTATACAATTAAAAGGTTTAACATATGGTCATGCTGGACCTGTTAGATTTATAATATCAATTGATAAAAATTTTATTTCGGATACAGAAGAAGGAACAATTATTAAAACATTTGTTATTACAATTGGAGATGGTTTTGAAGATTATCACAATTATGATCATACATTAGGAAAATATGATGCTATATCACATATTATTCTTTGGAAAATATAAACTTTGCTTTTTTTTTATTATCTATATTCACATTTTATACTGCTGGTCAGTTTATTTCTTATTTTTATCTCTACCATAATGTGTGTCGTTTTTTTTAAATAAACTAAATATATTTAGTTATTTTTATTTTTCAAATTTAATCAGATATTAACAAATTTTTAAATCAAAATAATATATTAACAAATTTTTAAGTATTTTTACTTACAAATAAAACATACTGGATGACACAAATCAATTACAAACAAATTTAAAAAAAAAACATTTTTTATTAAATTATTTTATTTTTATTTATTTTTATCAATAATTTCACTAGGATATATCAGTCTCTCGATGAATACACCTGCACCTTTATTAATACTAGTAGATCTATCTGATGATCATCAATAAATAAATAAATAAATAAATAAATAAATAAATAAATAAATAAATAAACGTTTTTTTCGAAATGCTTTATCAATCATAGAAATTGTTTCACATCTATGACACTCTCATTTATAATTGTTCACAATCTCTTCTTTTTATTATTAGTTTTTTTCGTATTTTGTTCTTACGCAAGTAAACAATGTAATTCTAGTAGAAGAATATAAATAAAAAAGATGTTTATGTTTTTGTTTTTATTTTTCATATATAGGCTATTTTAGGTGAAGAAGAGCAGAACAAAAACGCTTTTCGAATTATTTTTCAATAGGTTCGATTTCATTGTTGAGGAGTCAATACTAAAAAGTAAACATAGATTGATAAAACAAATATAACATCTATACTTATTGAAATATTTTCATCTTAAATTTGAGGAAAAAAACAATATGAAAAAAACGAGTTCTATTGTAATATATCATTCATTTCCATATTGATACTCTCAAAAATTCAATTATTTTCTCTTATCATTAAATCGAACACAATACACTTCTCACCTTCTCCATATTCGAATATATTTTTCTCATGTTTTTTTATTTTGCAACAGTATAATAAAGTTGCAATTTATTCATTGAATACTATGATAAAACAAAAAAATTGTTAATCGGGCTTGGCCGGGGATTGAATATTTATTCATTAATGATATTATTTCATTGATAAGACATATCAATAGGTAAGAATACGTAAAATAACACGAAAAATGAACATTCAATGAACCCGGGACCTCTCGCACCCTAAGCGAGAATCATACCACTAGACCACCAAGCCGTCGAACTACCATAGAACATCCAACTATATTAACTATTTACTAATCATTAATTTAATTGAAAATTTTTTTAAAATTTTTTTTGTTTTTTATTTTTCATTTGAATCAATATTATTTTTTTTCTATTTATATGAAAATATATAACAAAAATTAACAAAATAATATTTTATATTTCTTATACATATATATATATATATTTGATGAGGAGAAAAGAAAAAGAAAGAAAAAAAAAAGGTCGTATTGAGTAACGTGAATATGTGTTAGATGAATATCTACCTGTAAAAGAACAAAAGAGAACAGAAAAAGATTCGCGTTTTTTTAGTATTGAATATGTTCACATGGTTTTATGTTTTGTAAAATAATATATAGATATAGTGACTACTCATCCGTGAAACATTCTCGACTCAAAAATTATGAATTCAGACAGGTAAACGTGACCATTTTTTTCATTTTTTTTTGACGCATTGGTTTTATATTGACACAGGAGTACTTATTTATTACATTTAATTTATTGATAAAACTATTTAATGATGGTATATTACATACTTATTTTCATATTTAATATATTCTTTTATTTTTATTTTTAATTCTAATAGAATTCGAAAGGTGATGAAGGACAACCACTAACAAATCCTCATAATGATTATACTCTTACAGAAACAACGAAAATA